CCCCCCCCCAAAAAAAAAAAAAAATTTGTCATCACTTCGCCTTAATTGCGACCTAGCAATCGGATCTCGTTTTCGAGTCTGGGAGAGAAAGTGAGGGGTATTTTCGGGTCTTTCGGTGTACATATGGGTGAGAGAAACTCTCTTAAGGCTCGGTCACATTACTTCTGATTTTTAAGGGGTTTAGCATATGAGCACATAGGGCTGAGCCACTTGAAAACTCTGTTTTTGAGGCCTTGAAGTAATTTTTCTTTTTTTATCTTGGCTAATAAGTTATGCTAATTGTGCAAGTGATACTTTGATTATCCAAGTTCTATCTTATTGTACAAAATTAAATTTGAAGTCAGCTCCATAGTCTCTTTATGTTACAGTATTAAAATTTCGGGTTTTAGATTTAGACGCCATATTCCAGAATTAGCTCTACATGCGTTTATGTAGAAGTTTTGAGGTTTCCCGATATATACCTCCCAAATTGTAGTTATTTTTAATTTTTCTCCCAAATCATGTTAAACTTTCACAAATGTTAAAAGAGTATAACCCCATATAAGGATAAACATTAAACCAAGTCAGAAGTTGGGATAAAATGGATGGAAAGTCAAGGATGGCTTCATTTACTTGTGGAATTAAAAAAAAAGCTCAAAAAAGATTCAAAAATTTACAAAGAGCCCTCAAAATTCAAAATTATAAACATCCCTCTGTAAATAGAAAATTACAAACGACTTTCCAAACAATCCTAAAACTACGAAAAAAACACACTTCAAAAATTTTAAAAGGACACTCAAAAAAAGTCAAACATACAAATAGGGATTAAAATTTCAAATTGTTAAAAACTAGCCCCTGAAAATTTTTGTAATTTGCATAAAAAAACAACCTAAAATTTTTATAAATCACAAAAAAACTAAAAATTCGGAATTTCTTAAAAAATGAGAATTTCAAACAAACAAACAGTACACAAAAGATATAAAAATTACAAACAATCCCTAAACAATTTAGAATTTGTAAAAAATACCCTAAAAGTTTTAAAATTTTCAAAAAAAAAAAGACTTACCAAACAGGTAAATTCTTAGATGGAAGAAAAAGATTGTACAAGAAGTCATACAACAATGATAGAAATACGTCTGTATCGTCAAAGGAATCCAAGACTTCGGGATAAGTGAATCCTAGGTCTGTATTCCATTCTTTCCGGTGTGATTGTTTACTATTCTGGTGTGCCAGATTAGAATCAAGTGTTTGCAAAGCTAGGCTATGGAACGTGAAAAAGAGTTTCTCTTCTGATTCCTCTGACATCAAAGGGCAGTCTTCCATTGGCTTGACTGAGCTTGTTTTGTTAGCCTAAAATTTTCTAAAAATACCTTGAAATTTTCAAACATATAAACAATACATTGAAAATCTAAGAATTACTAATGACCCTAAAAAATTAGGAATTAACAAAAAATATCTAAAGTTTCAAAAATTACAAAAAAATTGATAAGAATTCAAAATTAAAAAAACACTTTGAGAATTTCAAACATGCGAAGTCTACATTGAAGATATAGGAGTTAGAAATAACCTCCTAAATTATTTGAAATTTATATAAACACCTGTGAAGTTTTGAAAATTGCAAAAATAAAATAAAATAAAAGCAACCTAAAAAGTTCATAATTTATTAAATTACCTAAGAATTTCCAACCTAGAAACAATACTCTAAAATTTTAGGAATTACAAATGACTGGTAAAAATATAGAATTTGTGGAATGCACCCTAAAGTTTTAAAAATTACCAAAAAACCTTAAATTTTAAAATTTACAAAAAACACTTTGAAAATTTCAAAGCTACAAATAGTATAGTGAAAAATATGTAAATTTAAAATTTGTAAAAACACCCTGATGTTTAGAAAATTAAAAAAGCACTCCCAAAGGTTTAAAATTTATGAAAAATGCACATGTTTGTAAGTTTTGATCTTTTTAGCCTCTTTTTTTATATTTCAAAAATTTGAGGTTGATTTTTGCATTCATGGTGTTTTTTGCGAATTCTAAATTTTTTAGGGGGCTATTTGTAAGTCCAAAAAATTTAGTGTACTTCTTGTAGGTTTAAAGTTTTTAGGATGTATTTTTAAAATTTTGAGCATATTTTTTGCTGCTCTCAAAACTTTGAGGATGTTATCCACAAATTCTAAATTTTTGAGACGGTTTTTTGAAACTCCTAAATTTTTAATCTACAATTTGTAGGTTTAAAAATCTCAAGGTGTATTTTGTAAAATTATAATTTTTGTGTGTATTTTTCAATTCTCAAACTTTAAGGGTGTTTTATGAAAACTTCAAAATTTTTTAGGGTTGTTTCTACTACCTATACTTTTTAGTATACTGTTAGCTTTGAAAATTTTAAGGTTTTCTTTGTATATTTTGATTTTTCTGAGGTGTTTTTGCAATTTTCAATTTTTAGGGAGTTTTTTGCTAATTTCTAAAAACTTTTAGGTGCTAGTTTGCATGCTTTGAATTTTTTAGGTTGCTATTGCAAGTTTGAATTTTGGTGTTTTATAATGTTTAAAATTTTAAGGGTATTTTTTGTTGTTTTAGAATTGTCTTGGGATGGTTTGTAATTTTCTATGAGGCTTTTTGCAATTTTGAGTATCTTTTTTGTAATGTTTAATTGTACGTGGGATCTTTTATAATTGTGACATTTTTCATGGAGGTTGCTTGTAAGTTTAATAATTTAGGGTGGTGTTTTTGGAATTTTTTTTAAATTTTTTAGTTGAGAGTAGAAGAGATCCATTTAAGTCTAAATTTTATCCTTTTTGATTGGTTATATCAAACTTAAGAATATTTCTCTCACTGACTTTTCCAGGATAATAGTTACCGCATAGCTTGTGATAAAAAAAAGTTACCATGTACTCTAAACCCTTTTCCTTCAACCTCATATGCTAGACGAGCCCTACGGTTCTTATGTGCAACTTTGGCCCTCGGTTAATAATTACAACGTAATTACGTGCAACTTTAAAATGCTTGTCATTTAAAACGCTTCTTCTTTTCCCGCACATTCGCACACAAACAAAATATGCCTTCTGAAGTATACAAGAAACATACGTTGGTAGCCGTCCTTAACCCTTTCTTCACCCCCGCCCCCCTAAAAAAAAAGAAAAAAAAAACTCCAAAATAGAAGATAAAAAAAGAAAAGAAAAACTGAAGAAAGTGATGGGTTTTTGGTTCTTGTTCCTACCGCCAAGTCCAAAATCATCAGTCTCGCCTAAATCGAACGAATTTGACATCTCACTCTCCCATTGCTTCTAATAGCACCTCCCTTCAATCTCAATTTCGCACAATCGATGGGAGGACCAGTAAAGGTAAAAAATATAACTGATTTTTTTTTGTAGAGATTTTGATGCGAGGTGCATTGATTAATTTGGTTTAAGATGTTTTATTTTTTCACATGGGTTCGTGCCATTTAATGATGTTTTAATAGCTACAATTTATGAAATCAAGGTATCTATTAGCTTGTTTAGTTGGTTTCTAAAATAGCTAATTTCAAATTGGTTTGTGTAAAGCTTAAAGTTTGTTGGGATTTGGATATGCAGAAGCTTGGGACCTTGGATTTTTTGGTAGCTGAAATAATTTCTTGGGGTAAATTTCTTCGTAAGGTTAATTAAGGAAATTTGGAAGTCTTGTCATTCTATTTCTGGATGGGAAAAGGTTCCACTTCCTCCTTTTTTGGCTTTTAATGTCAAATTAACTCCTAAAGATTGATTTTTTGGTCACAACCTGTTTGATAAAATTCAGCTAATCGGCTGAGGAAGATCCTGTTATATTAGTGTGCATCTCATAGTTCAGAGACTTTTGAAACTCTAAGAAGAACCTAGGGGTTCGATAATGGAGGTTTTGAATCTTCAGTTGGACAGGAAGATATGATTGTTGGGACAAACCCGGAGCCTAATAGGGCAAGGTCCCAGCGAATAGTAGAGCAGAATTAGTGAAATTAACACACAAATTTACGTGGAAAACACCCTAAATGAATTTGATGTAAAACCCAGGAATAATGATAGAAGAATCCACTATAAGAAAATATTAGGAGTTACAATCTCTTCTCAAAAAGAAACTCTCTATATTTTTTATCTTTCTCTCTCCTCTCTTTCTTTTTTTCACTCTTAATTGAAGACACCGGGATGATCAGAACTTAACGCCAGGAAGAGCTTGTGAATGGACATGGGATGTGGACGTGGGATGTGGGGTCCACAGGGTCCACCATTGTGCGTGAAACAGTTCACGCTCACGCCCACACCCATGAGATCCGGTTCGTGGCGAAGTGAGGTCCACCCATGTGCACGAAACACCCATGCGGCAGTGTGTGCAAACCGGCCCACAAATGTCTTATATATACGCATTTATTACCTAGGTTTTGGTATAGTGCAGAGGGGGAAATCACAGAAAAGCGGCGGTTGTTTTGTGAGCACGGAGTTCTTTGTTGGCGGCTACGAAGAAAAGAATTAGGGGACGGCTGCGGCTGATTTTGTGCGAATTCAGAGGCTCAGGGATTGCGGCTGTAGTTGTTCTTGATTTGTGCAACTCTTTGAGAGAATATTTGTATGAGGGATCTGAGAGTTTGTGAAAGGGTTTAAATTAAGAGATTGTAAACCCTATTTGTATTCTCTTCCTCTAATAGTAGATCTCCCCCTCATTGCCCCGTGGACGTAGGCAGTTTGTCGAACCACGTAAAATTTGTGTTCTTGTCGTGATTTGTAATACCTTGTAGGTTCCCTCGACATTTATAGTCTTAGAACTGATGAGAGGAAGAACTGATATCTCACTTTGATGAGATATCTGGTTTTGGTTCTTGTTTCCTTTGAGAAACGAGAATTTCGTTGTGATCTAATCTCTTGTTGTGCACCTTGCGCACCGGAGGTGCTGCTGAAATTTTCGCTGTGCATAACAAGTGGTATCAGAACTCCGGATTGGATTTGGGGCTTGTTCGAAGGATTCACTGAAGGATTCCTATTTGAAGAATTAGATCGACAACATGGGAGAAACAAGCACATTGGGATCGTCTCTTTCGAAGGCGATACAAAGTCTGAGCATTAATAACACGAAGATTGATGTTCCGAAGTTCGACGGCAAGATTAATTTCGGATTATGGAGGTGTCAGGTGATGGACGCCTTAGATGCATAGAATTTTGAGGAGATTCTTGAGTTACAAGAGAAACCCACTGATATGGAGGACAAGGTTTGGAAGAAAATAAATAGTAGGGCTTGTGGAGTTATTCGGTCATGCTTGACGTCAGATCTTATTTATGACGTAATGAACGAGACGTCGGCGAAGAAAATGTGGGAAACACTCAATGAGAAGTATCTGACGAAGAGCATTGAGAATCGGTTTTACTTGAAGAAGATGTTTTACCAGTTCAAGATGAAGAGGGGAGTTTCCATTCGGGAGCATGTTAACAACTTCACGAAGCTAATTTCAGATATGGTCAATGTAGATATCATGGTTGAGGATGAAGACAAGGCGATGCTACTATTGTGTTCGTTGCCAGAGGATGATTTTGATACGTTTGTTCTCACTATGATAAATGGAAGAACTACGGTTAGCTACAAGGAGGTGACCTCAGCTTTGGTGAATTATGAGTTGAGGAAGAGTGATAGCAAACCCTCCGAGAAGGCATCGGGAGATACATTAGCAGTTCGAGGCCGTGATCCAAACCGTCGCCAGTTCAACCGCTCAAAATCGAGGAATAGAGGTGGCCATAAGAGTATTAGTAGGAACCAGTGTCGCTTTTGCAAAGAAGAAGGACATTGGAAGAACGACTACCCAAAGTTGAAACATAAAGCTGGAAAGAATAAAGGGAAAGTTGTACAAACTTCGGAAGTGAATATTGTCAAGGCTAGTGACGACAATTCAGATACTGATTCTTCAGGCTATTCATGCTCTGCATTACCGTCAGTTTGTTACGCTGACTCTACGGAGTGGATGATGGATTCTGGTGCTACATACTATATTTGTCCTAGGAGAGATTGGTTCTCCAGCTTTGAGGAGTTGGAAAGAGGGGATGTCGTGCTCATGGGTAATGATCACGTATGTCCTATTGGTGGTATTGGTACAGTACGGATCCGGATGTGTGACGGGGTAACTCGGGAGCTGAAGGAAGTGAGATTCGTTCCTCAATTGACGAAGAATATCATTTCACTTGAAACTTTGGAAGCAGCTGGTTATCAGGTGATCTTAGAGAATGCGACTCTGAAGGTCAAAAAGGGGTCTATGGTGGTGATGCGAGGTGTTAGGGAAAATAACATTTACTACTTGAAGGGCAAGATAGTAACAGGGGGTCTGGCAGCTTCGATTACCACAGAGAAAGATACTACCAGCTTATGGCATATGAGATTAGGACACACTGGTGATAAGTCCCTACAGGTATTGGCGAAGCAGGGGCTATTGAAGGGTGTAAAGACCTGCAAGATAGAGCTGTGTGAACATTGCATACTTGGAAAGAAGACAAGAGTGAAGTTTGGCACCGCTATTCACAATACCCAAGGTATATTGGACTACATTCACATAGACGTTTGGGGTCCTTCCAAGCACACATCACTTGGTGGAGCAAACTATTTTGTCACTTTCATTGATGACTATTCCAGGAAGAATTGGGTATACCCGATAAAGCATAAACATCAGGTCCTGGATATCTTTGTGGAGTGGAAGAAGAAAGTGGAGCTGCAGACAGGTAGAAATGTGAAGACTCTACGTTCAGATAACGATGGAGAGTATAAGTGTGATCCGTTTCTGTAGTTTTGTCAGGATCACGGCATTAGGCGACACTTCACAGTACGTGAGACACCGTAACAGAACGGGGTGGCTGAGAGATTGAACCGTACCTTGCTGGAGAAGGTACGATGTATGATGACGTAGAGTGGATTGCCTAGATCCTTTTGGGCCGAGGCGTTGGTTTATACGAGCCATCTTGTGAATAGGTTATCGTGCACTGCGATACAGGGAAAGACTCCGTTGGAGCATTGGTCTGGTTCGGTAGCTAGTGACTATGAGTCGCTTCGGATATTTGAGTGTCCTGCTTATTACTATGTCAGTGATGGTAAATTGAATCCGAGGGCGAGGAAAGCAGTCTTTGTGGGATTTAGAGATGGAGTTAAAGGCTTCAAGTTATGGGATCCACAAGACAAGAAGATAGTTATTAGCAGGGATGTCATATTTGACGAGACGTACATGATGAAGCCTCAAGTTCCTCAGCAGTTGGAGGAAGATCAGATTCAGGAGATATCGCAGTAGGTGGAGGATGATGGGACTCCACCCACTTCAGAGAGTATTGTATCCATCGAGGCTCCTACAGAGGTGACACTGGGAGGAGATGAGATGATAGCCGGGCATTTAGAGGATACAGTGGATGTTGAGACTCAGAAACAGGGTCATGTTCAGGAGTCCATTGCAGCTAATAGACCAAGAAGAAACATTCGTCGACCAGCTAGATATGACGATATCATGGTTGCATATGCTTTATCAGCAGAAGTCGTTAATGACTTGGTTCCTTTTACATTCAAGGAAGCAGAGTCAAGCTCTGATTCGAATAGGTGGAGGGAAGCCATGGAGGAAGAGATGCAATCTCTTCATAAGAATGACACTTGAGAACTTGCAAAGCTACCGAAGGGTAAGAAGGCTATTGGATGCAAGTGAGTATATGCAAAGAAAGAGGGATCTTCTATTGGGGAAATTAGATTCAAAGCCAGATTGGTTGCCAAGTGATATTCACAGCTAGAGGGCGTTGATTACAACGAGGTATTTTCACCTGTTGTGAAGCATTCGTCGATTCGTATTTTATTATCATTGGTGGCACAGCTGGATTTGAATTTGGTCCAGATGGATGTGAAAACAGCCTTTCTACATGGAGATTTAGAAGAGGAGATCTACATGACACAACCTATAGGGTTCAAAGCTGCAGGAAAGGAAGAATTGGTATGCAAGCTGAAGAAGTCTCTTTACGGATTGAAACAATCACTGCGACAATGGTACAAGAGATTCAACGGCTTTATGATTGGCCGAGGGTACACGAGGAACCCATATGACCCGTGTGTTTACATGCACAAGCTACAGAATGGTGAGTATATCTATTTGCTGTTATATGTTGACGATATGCTCATAGCTTCTAGGAATACTTCAGCTATTAGAAAGTTAAAAAAAGAGCTGTTATTCGAATTTGAGATGAAGGATCTTAGAGAAGCAAAGAAGATATTGGGTATGGAGATCGAGAGAGACATAGTGAAGGGGAGGTTGAAGTTGACACAGAGGAGTTACTTACAGAAGATGCTGAAGAAATTCAGTTATGATGGTAATGCCAAGGCGGTGAGTACTCCATTAGCTCCCCACTTTAAGCTATCAGCTAAGATGTCACCTGTTTCAGTTGAGGACCGGGAATACATGTCCAAAGTTCCATATGCCAATGCTGTGGGTAACTTGATGTATGCGATGGTGTGTACAATGCCAGATTTGTCACAGGCCGTGAGCATGGTATCGAGATACATGCACGATCCCGGGAAGGATCATTGGGAGGCCGTGAAGTGGATTCTACGGTATATTAAAGGTACCGTGGATGTTGGTTTGGTATTCCAGAAGGATGAGAAGAATGAGCAGGATTGTATTGGTTACGTGGATTCAGATTATGCTGGAGATCTTGACAAACGCCGGTCTACTTCAGGTTATGTGTTTACATTGGCTGGTATACCGGTATGTTGGAGATGCACACTTCAGTCTACAGTGGCTCTCTCCACTACGGAGGCAGAGTATATGGCGTTGACTGAAGCTGTGAAGGAGGCTTTGTGGTTGCAGGGATTATTGGATAACTTGAGGATTGCACAGGAGACCCTTCGGGTATATTGTGATAGCATGTCAGCTATCTATTTGGCGAAGAACCAAGTTTATCATGCGTGCACGAAGCACATCAATGTCAGATTCCACTTTGTTCGTGACGTTTTGGATGAAGGAGACGTCATGTTGGAGAAGATCCACACGAAGGACAACCCTGCAGATATGTTGACCAAAGTTGTTTCAGGTGTTAAGTTTGGTCATTGTTTAGAACTTTTAAACATTCTTCGGTGTTGAGGTCTTTCGAGGCCATTGGGTGAACTACGTTCGGCTTGATTCCTTGGATAAGAGGATACGTAGACAGTCTTTCAGATATAGCCGGTTTGGATTAGTTTATTTTGATGGGGGTGAGACCGATTTGGTGAGTAGACATCGATGTTTGGGGAGAGTGTTCGCACTCCTATTTGGGTCTCGACTTGTTATGGATTGAGTCCGTTGTCGTGAATTAGCTTCACGGCATACTGGACACAATAAGTGGGATATTTGGATGCTTTGGTGTTAGCTCAGTTTTGAGAAAACATCGCCGAGGTGGAGAATTATGAATGGACGTGGGATGTGGGGTCCACAGGGTCCACCATTGTGCGTGAAACAGTTCACGCTCACGCCTACACCCACGAGATCCGGTTCGTGGCGAAGTGAGGTCCACCCATGTGCACGAAATACCCATGCGGCAGTGTGTGCAAACCGACCCACAAATCTCTTATATATACGCATTTATTACCTAGGTTTTGGTATAGTGCAGAGGGGGAAATCACAGAAAAGCGGCGGTTGTTTTGTGAGCACGGAGTTCTTTGTTGGTGGCTATGAAGAAAAGAATTAGGGGGCGGCTGCGGCTGATTTTGTGCGAATTCAGAGGCTCAGAGACTGCGGCTGTAGTTGTTCTTGATTTGTGCAACTCTTTGAGAGAATATTTGTATGAGGGATCTGAGAGTTTGTGATAGGGTTTAAATTGAGAGATTGTAAACCCTAGTTTTATTCTCTCACTCTAATAGTAGATCTCCCCCTCCTTACCCCGTGGACGTAGGCAGTTTGCCGAACCACGTAAAATTTGTGTTCTTGTCATGATTTGTAATACCTTGTAGGTTCCCTCGATATTTCAGTCTTAGAACTGATGAGAGGAAGAACTGATATCTCATTTTGATGAGATATCTGGTTTTTGGTTCTTGTTTCCTTTGAGAAACGAGAATTTTTTTGTGATCTAATCTCTTGTTGTGCACCTTGCGCACCGGAGGTGCTGTTGAAATTTCCGCTACGCACAACAGAGCTATATATAGGTGAGTTTGTGGTATGTGAGCACTATTACTACAATATTGCTACAATAATACCTAGTGGGTATGTGGTTGGTGATTACTGTAGCGATAAGTGATTACTGTAGCTAAAGTACTTCCATTAAAGAAATCATCGCGCTATAATGAGGAAACAGTGACAAGGCAGTCTGAAAATAACAGGATGGTTGAGAAAAGACACAACACAAATTAATATCTTAGGTAAAATTTCACTAAACCCTGAATAAGTTTGACCCTTGGCATTTAAGCCCGAAAAGTTTGAAACTCTCAGTAAACCCCAAATAAGTTTGGGAATTCCAGCAAACCCCCAAACCCGTTTTGATTTTACCACTTAAGCCCCAATGACTACTTTACAATGTTTATGTGATATTCTCTGTTGGGAACGCAAAATATGGGTTAATGTCGTTATGTGAATTAGGTCCTTTTGGAGGTTAAGTGCCAAAGGTCCAAACTTGTTAGGGGTTTAGTGAAATTTATGCTAACAATTTCCTTTAGAATTATGTCATATATATAATTTTTTTTTTAAAACAAGAAATAGTCATTAATTAAAATAATATAACAACAAATACAATATGAGGTAATTTGTTAAACATTACCAATAAATGTGTTTGACAATTGCATTATTGTAACCCTGGCCAATCCGTACCTCTTTTCACCAAAAATTAATAAAATAATAATAATAAAACTACACGCTGCTTTATCACCACCACAATTTTAGAAATTCTTTTGATCCATTCCGATGAGTATCCAATAGATTGTTAATAATTCACCGAATATTGTGATTCGCTGTATACCTAAACAACATTTAAGGTGCTTTGAGATTCATTTATTTGCACTTGATATCAATTTGCAGTTTTACTAGTCCAATTCCTTTACATATTTGTGTTAAATTTTATCTAGTTGAAGAAAGAGATAGCTCAGAGAAACAATGAATAACTCAACCTGCTTTTTATCTAGTTGAAGAAAGAGATAGTTCAGAGAAACAATGAATAACTCAACCTGCTCTTGCGTTGGTTCCCTTTTTGAGTTTGCTCAGATAATTTTGTTCATTCTTTGTCAAAATGTTTACTCTTTTTTATTCTTTTTTTATAAGAACATTTGCTCATCTTTTTTTTTCTTTGTGTCCTGCAACAATATAGACTGATACATGGAAGCGCACATTACTGCTAGCCTTCCAAAGCCTCGGTGTGGTTTTTGGTCACTTGAGCATTGGTCCTCTATATGTCTTTCATACCGCAGCTCCAGATGAAATCAAATCAAAGGAGATGTTATATGGGCTGATGTCCTTTGTATTTTGGACAATGACATTGATTCCATTTGTAAAGTATATTTGCATAGTTTTGAGGGTTGATGACAACGGAGAAGGTGATTTCTGCCAAAATTTTTAGTTTATTAAATAAAGAGGAACTTAAAGTCCTAATCAAGAACATAATTAACAATGCAGGTGGAACATTTGCACTGTACTCACTTCTGTGTAGGCATGCCAGAGTGGGCCTGCTTCCTAATGATCAAATTGAGGATGATCTTTGCTTGTATGAGGATGGTGTAGATTCAAAGGCTAAAAATACGGTTGAAAGGAGCCAAAAGAGTCGCTATATGATGTGGTTCATGGCTATGCTTGGTTCATGCACAGTTATCACCAGTGGGGTTCTTGTTCCAACTATTTCTGGTATGAAGTTTGTTTTTCCCCAAAGTTCTTAAATGCTGAGTGTTTAACTTTTTTGATGTATGTCTTGTGTTTTTGCTAGTGCTCTCAGCATCATCAAGTCTTGATAGATCTCTTGAAGAATTATTTTTTAAATGTAAGTCTATGAACTGAGAATGAATATTAATTGACTAGTAGCTTCTCTTTGTTGATTTACTGGTTTCTCTTTTACCTTCGTTACATTTCATTTCATTTTTTTTCTAATATCTTTTCCTCTAATGCTTTCTACAGCACAAAGAAAAAGAGAGAAATTTGGAGAGCGTAAGTCTCCCTTCCAGAAATTTTGCTTCAAATCAACTACAATTTATAACATTGTATTCCATCACACTTCCAACCTTAATTATTAATCTAGTTGAAATAGTCCTTACATTCATGCAGTGTAAAAGTTAATATTTTGATGGTTTCGAGGCTGAACTTAGCATTTAGCAACCATAGATATTTGGGAAAGAGCTATGGAGAACTCTGATGCAGGACATAGGTTTGAAATTTTAGTTAAGATATTATATTTGATCTTTTCAGTTAGAATAATGAAGTTGCAATTTTAGTTCATATTTTGTTAGGTTGTTTTCTGTTTTCTTAGATGATATCTTTTAGTTATGGAGTTTATTTGATGTTATCTGAAATGCATTAGATCTGTTTTATAAGTAATCAGTAATCTGTAATCTCTATTTTGGAGGACATACATTGATTAATTAGGAATATTTGAGTTTTTGAGGAAACCTTATTTTAGTTGATATGGTGTGAAGCCTTTAGGGTGTGAAGCCTTTAGGATGTGAAGCCAAAATCTTTATCTGTAATTTCATTTTATTATTTTGTTTCCCTCTTTNACTAGACCCCAAACAGGCCCTTCCCATGTGTTTATTTTCCTGCAGCTAAAACAGCATTTCAAGTCTTTCATTCTGCCCCCAACACCCCACCGTTCGTTTGTTCTTTGCTGCCAATAGGCCTACAAGGCCCCGTGCACCTTTGCAGATTCAGACAGATTCAAAACAGCTGCTGCCAAAGCTCCAAAAGAGCCCTGAATCAATTTAAACAGACCCTAAAACCTTTCAGCATCAAAGAGAACCACACGATAATCAAGTTCAGATCCTAGCCATCTCCCATTCCTCATCAAACTACGATATGTCCAAGTGAAAGCTTTCATTAAGATGAACTTGTTTAGACATAACGAATATTACAATCTCTTCTATGACCGTGATTTAACTAAAGTTCAAGACTAGATGTGCAATGTCAAGCAGACAAACAACAAAAACAGGTTATAAAAAGTTCTGGTCGGCAAAACAATGCAAAAAGGGCAATTGTTTGTCTTGGAACTTAGCCAAGTACTAAAGGTGCATTTTGAATTTAGACGATAGAAGATTAAGATGGTTTACTGATTCTGGGGAGACTTCGGATATCATGTAGAACTATGAAATTGCAAGATTGAAGAAAGTGTCATAAAGGGGCCAGTGTTTAGTTTTTTTTTAAGATATTCGTTAAAATCTTTCTTATTTTGATATTAGTCCCTCAAATCTTTGAAATCTAGTCTTCAATTCTGTTATTTTAGGACCTAAACGATCGTGACAGATATGAAATAAAGATGACTCTTCTTCAGATAATTTTTTTACTAAAGATTGTCTGGAACTCTTCAGGAGTTTTACGCAGTGATGTGTAGTGAGCAAATAACATGTGATGCAATGATCGTTAACTCTTATGGTATCTTTGTCTCTATAGTCTATCCGAGGATAGTTACACGAATATAGACAAAGCCTAACTGAGTCTTCACTATGTCACATTTATGCTTTAGTTTTCTTCTTGTCCACCTGCGGATATTAGCTTGTCTTTTTCACCTATATTTTTTTGGGTTACCAGATAAAAAAATGGTACCATAGGACAACATCTGACTTGCAAATCCTCTTGTTAACTATTAACTTGCTTTGCCTGAGATGACATTTATATTTCCAACTACTGCACAGGTACGGAAATTCCATTTGCTTATGCAATTATAATAGCCCTCTTCGTGTTGCAGCATTTTGGGACACATAAAATTGGTTTCTTGTTTGCTCCCATTATAATTGTATGGCTCCTATTCATCGGTGGACTTGGTGTATACAACATATTGCACTGGGATCAAGATGTTTTCTGGGCTCTTTCCCCTCTCTACATGTACAAGTTTATAAATAACTTAAATATCATGAACTGGCGGTCATTAGGCGGTGTCCTTTTGTGCACAGCAGGTTATGTTCATAACTTATCCCATTTTTTCATTTGATTTAAGAGTCAGCAAAACCTGAAGGTTTAGTTTGCAGGCTCTGAGGCAATTTTTGCAGATCTAGGTCACTTCTCAAAGAGATCAATCAAGGTATGTTCCACTTGATTTAGAAAACTGCTTTAGGAAAGTGTAAATAGCAATTCTTTAATTAGTAGACCATGTGTAGAACGTGTTTTCAGTTGTCTTTGTGCTTTATTAATTTATCATAATTTCATAAAGTGGACTTTATTAGGGAATTTCTGAGGACTGATAGTTATATATGATTTCTGTTGACAAACAGGTGTACCTGTTATGTTTTAACATATTTATATGCCAGATTTTTGTTATGTTTATGATAGCGCAATACAGAAAGATAACAGAATTAGGAAGCAGTCCTTAATTTGTGCCAATTCTTCTTTGTTGCTTTCTTGAGGTGATGTTATAATATTTCTGTTGACAACAGTGTACCTGTTATGTTTTACATATTTATATGCCAGATTTTTTTTATGTTTATGATAGCGCAATACAGAAGATAACAGATTAGAAGCAGTCTATATTTGTGTGCCATTTTTCTTTGTTGCTTTCTGATCCACTTGACGGCTTCTATTTTGTTTGGAAGAGAACTTTCTAGTTATGATGGTATAGGTCTACACCGAATTGGTGTCATTGATTAACTTTCTGTACCAGGATTATATAACGTCACGTGTGCCAATTTCCGGTGGTCAATGTGTCCTATTAAGCTATTAGAAGTTTGAGAACAATAGTTGTATATCATCATCATCATAACCACCACCACCATCATACCGATTTTATTATTATTATTATTATTATTATTCCTACATTGTTTTCCATCTTAGCAGCAACTTCCGGATATATTGGATGCATATGAATTTCTTAGTTTCAGGATTTGACAATTCTCATAAAGAGTTGTGAGTGAACCAGGGTCAAAATATGGTGAAATGACACTTTCCGACATTTGAGTGGTTTGATCTTATGATGTTTTTTTTGTTCCGTTTTGGTTAGCAGTTGTTTTCTGGCTCATGCATGTGCGTGGGATTTCGTGTCTTGTACATGTGTGTGTGTTTTTTTATTGGAGGGTGCTTGGGAAAACCGCTGAATATAACAAAAGATTTGGAGGATGAGGAGAGAAGAGAAAGGCAGAACTAGCTCTTCTGCCTTGGATCTTATTCTAATGCTAGATTTATACATGTACTTAATACTCTCTTCTGAAGTTGGAGAAGATAACAAGTAGATTAGTCTTGAGACATCCGAAGGGGTACAGTAATCAAGTCTCAGTAATCGATGAACATATTGCAAATATCTTGTCTTAATAAATTTTCTTGTAGTCTGTTGTGCTTAGTTGTTTCATAGAATATAGGTGTAATTGCAATATGGGTCGCAGGCTAATTAACGCAATGTAACTTCATAAGAGAAGGAAACACATACATAACCAAATTTACTGCTTTATCCAAACAATCTTACTAGTGGATTTTTTGAGACTCTGCGTTTTATTTGAGCAGATTTTTGTGTCTCGAGTTCAGTTAAGAAAGTTTAGGGGAAAAAGTAGAGGATCTAGAAGGGTTTAGTCCTATGTGTCAGTCATGTATCAGTTTGAAGAAGTAAGCTAAAGACATCTTCTGCGGTGTAAGAATTCTACGAGGTTCAGCTTTTCTTTAGAGAAGTGTCAGAAAGAACCCACAATATCTATAGATATCCAGTTGTAACATTGACAGCTTGCTGTCTGATAGCTAACGGATCGTGTCACAACAGTGTTTTCTTGACGGTTCAGAATTAGTGATGATGGTTTATGGACACCTTTTCTTGCAGGTTATTTAGTAAAGACTAGAAAAGAAACTCTATATCTCTTACATTATATTGTCCTTGTGAAGAAGCCATATTAAATTTCAAATCTTGATCCATTGTTAGAATCACTAGATCTCAGAGAGAAACCTCCTATACTCTAAGCCTGAAGAAACTCCACTGTGCTCCCAATGAACGAAGGCATGATTTGATAAAATAAAAACCATTTGTTTTGCTTGGTCGTGTGCTTCTCTTTGTTTTTTTCTTTTAAGTTGACGTTATGTTCTAGGAAGATTCTTCTTGAAGGAATATTTTTTGGCTTATTTTGTGTGGTTCAACTCGCAACAAAATGATAAATTCTAAAAACTTAAAAAAGAAAAGAAACCTACTAATAAAGATATTTTTTCTGTTATTGACTTTCTCTAACATTTTCCTACTGACGCCTAAGCTTGATTATTACAGATTGCTTTCAGCCTTCTCGTTTATCCTTCACTTATTTTGTGTTACCTGGGTCAAACTGCTTATATATCTAAAAATTGGAAGAGAGAAGGAATAGATGATGTTACTCATCTAAGGACTAGTGTACCTGGTGAGTCATTCTTCTTTGTTATTATCATCTTTTTCTAATGATTTTGTCATACCTATCTCTATTACTGAAATATACCTGTTCACTTTGGCATGGGAAATCCAGGAAATCTTCGTCATGTCTATCCATTGCTCTCTCTTCTATCTTCTGCAGTGGGAAGCCAAGCAGCTATTACAGCTACATTCTCTATTATAAAACAATGTCTTGCACTTGATTGTTTGCCTAGAATGAAAGTTGTGCACACTTCCAGTGAGATTCATGGGCAGGTTTACATTCCAGATATCAACTGGATCTTGATGATTCTTTCCCTTGCTTTGGCTTTTGCTTTCGGGAGTATTTCCCATATTGGATATGCCATAGGTAAATGTGCTCAGTGTTTAATTCTCTGTTCCTTGCTCAAATCTAACAATGCCCTTTTCAGGCCTTGCTATAATAATTGGCATGCTGATCACAACCTGCTTCATGTCGTTGATCGTTGCATTGTACTGGAATAAGGTATTACTGGCTGCATGCTTTCTTCTCTTCTTTGGATCCATTGAGGCTATCTATTTCTTGGGCTGCATTCTGAACATGAAGAGGGGTGCCTGGATCGTCATTGTTTTTGTAGAAGTATTGTTGATAATTATTCTGTCCTGGCACTACGGAGTCATGAAGAAGTACCAGCTTGATATGGAAAATAAAGTCTCAATTGATTGGCTCATTGGCCTCGGTCCAAACCTAGGAGTTTCCAGAGTTCCAGGAATCGGCTTCATCTGTACTGACATCACAAAGGGAATTCCAGCTTTCTTCTCTCATTTTGTGACAAATCTTCCAGCCTTTCACCAAGTTATTGTCTTTGTTTCTTTCAAATCCATGCCAATACCTCAGGTTACTCCAAGCATGCAGTTGCTTATTGGAAGAATGGGACCAAAAGAGTATAGAGTTTATCGATGCATTGTGAGGTACGGTTATCGTGACGGAATTAGGGACATAAATGAATTTGAGGATCAAATTGTTCATGGTATTGGAGAATTCATTTCACAGGATGATGGGAACTCTGAAGCCTCGTGTTGGTCTCCAGAGGGCCGAGTGGTTGTCTCTGGAAACCTTCATGGTGGTAACGCTTTAATTACCGTGCCTGCAAATGATTCTTTTACCACTTGTGAGAGACCGGTAGATGTCGAAGTTCAGAAACTTCAGAATGATGAACAACCTTCAAAGATAAGAAAAAGGGTTCGGTTCTTGTTGCCTCCAGAGAGCCCAGAGATGAGCTTGGCTGTTAGGGAAGAGCTTCAAGAGTTACTGGATGCAAGGGAGCATGGAACAACGTATATTTTGGGAAAATCACAGTTTTTTGCTCAGAGAGGATCGAATTTCTTGAGGAGGATAATCATTGGGGTGTATATTTTTCTTGTCAAAAACTGCAGAGAGCCGTCAATGTTGCTGAACATTCCTCATGCTGCTCATGTTGAGGTCGGCATTTCTTACACGATATAAGTTGATTAAGCGTGAGAACCGTCAACGGATCTTGATATTTCTAGTGCTGCTTAAGGTTTGTATTTCCTCCACTGTACAAGTTGATAGGATGGCTGTAAGTGTTGATAGGATGGCGTGTAAGTGTCTATGTAATGCTAGATAGTACATGCTTTTGTATCCTTAGAATGATGCTTACTACGTGTATCGCTAAACAAGCATATACCTAGAGTCCTAATGACTATTTAACATATTTGGCATGAGTGGTATTCAGTGGCAGAGCTATTTATAGTAGTGGTACCACAATATATATAAAAAGATGATTGTTTCAGATCTTTTAAATTACAATTAACACAGATTACAACTCAAAAGAAACTAAAAGAAACAAGAAAATTTTGTATTTTAGCTGGGTTTTTTTCTGTGTGCCGATGAAGCATCAATCATGTACTCCGTTGACGGTCCGACTGTAATGTTGAATCTTCTACTGACTGATAGCTACCTAAGCCCTTCTGAAGATGTCGAAGTCTTCTCTGGATGATGAACTGACGAAGTTGTTAAAATTCAAAGTCTCTAGCTGAATGCCTAGTGCATATATCAAGTGTGTAAAATTGCCAAGTGTCTAAAATAAGTAATCTTATTTCCTCTTATAGGCTAAAAGAGAAGACTTCAACATAATCAATGATCGAATAATGCCAATCATTGGGTTTGAAACCCCCGAATGTAGTGCACAGCGCATTGGCTTCCATGATCTATTTGGGGCAACATAGTTGGTGACTAGCTACCGTAAATTGTCTAATAGACTTGTAGGTCAAAACTAAGGACAAATTTTCAAAACCAACCCATTTGATAAACTAATTGCAAAAAACGACCCGTTTCAGATTTATTTAGAGAAACCGACATGGTTTCAGCACTGTCGCTGAAACCAGGTCGGTTTTTCTAAAAAACTTTACGAAACTTCACGGGAGTTCAACTCCCGTGAAGTTTTTTCTCATAACAAAACTTCACGGGAGTTGAACTCCCGTGAAGTTTCGGAAACTTTTTTTCAAAAACTGACCTGGTTTCAGCGCTGAGGCTGAAACCAGGTCGGTTTTTGCAAATAAAACTGAAATGGGTCTTTTTTTGGGAATAGTTTATCAAAAGGGTTGGTTTTGAAAATTTGTCCTCAAAACTAAAGTAGCTGCGAGTGATGCATCAGTATAAGCATTCTTGAGGCAGGCTACATATTCAATATAGAAACCTTCAGAAGAGTGAGCAAGCTTCAATCCCACTTCATGGTAAGGTAAGAGGTTTGTTCTGTCGGACTTCATACTCCCATTTTATCTGATTGATGATTAACTTCGAATCACAATGTGCTTCAAGATACTTGGCACTCATGTCTTAGGCAAGTAGTAATCCAATTTATGAGGGCATTTTACTCAGCCATGTTGTTATAACATGACTTAGTTATCAGATAAGCCCGAGGAACGATGTGACCATAGGGATCAATAAGTACTACCCCACTCCTGCCATGACCGTTCGTTTGTGATTACAACGTGACGCTCCATCAAAGTAAAGTTATCATATTTGATAATCTGAGGTAATGTTTGATTCGAATATGTCTTCTAGGACGTCTTCGTAGAGTTTGGAAGACTCAGGGATAGGATGGTCTACAAGGAAATTAGCTATTGCTTGGCCTGTGACTACCTTTTGAGGTACGAATGTCATATCATACTGAGAAAGCACAATCACCCCTTTCTTGAGCCTAGAATTTAAGGACTCAAGTTTTATCATGAGTACCCATAAAAGATTGACTTGTAGGGTCTGATTTTGCTTATGTATACCAAGTGTAGGATCGTGACCCTTAAGAATAGAGTGCGCTCTTATAAAAATCTGCGGAAGCTTTACACTTAAACACTAGAGTGTGAGTTTGCAAAGTAGATTATAAATTGCAAAGAAAAAATGGCAATCTCAGAAAATAAACATCACAAACACAAGCATGTATACTGGTTCCACCTCCCCGGTGTACATCCAGTCCCCAAGCAAATCCCGCTTGAGAGTTTCCACTATGATTTTAAAATCTTACAAAATCAAAAGCAAACCTGACCAATTTGCAAGACCATGTAAATTGCAAATCCAATTGACAAGACCATGCCAATCGTCACACCGATCTCTAGACCAAGAGATCAACCCCTCTCATAAACCGAGAGAACCTTTCTTTTAAGTAATGTACAATTCCAATCCTATAAGCCTTGATATAGATGTGAATGTATAACAGTGGCTTATCAATCTTTTTAACTCTCTGAATATTGTCTAAACAAGCTCTAAGAATGATAGGAACAAAGGCAATATCAGAAACTCTCTTTTATAGAAAAACAGATTGAAAAATTGAAAGTTTAGAGAGTTAATTTGCACAATATGTGAATCTTATAAGTGCAAAACTTGGTGGTTGTTTTCTGATGTTTAAACCTATTTATAGCCTCTGAAATGACATAATTTTAAACCCAATTAACGTCCACAAAACGGCTATAAACAGTCACTTATTTAAAACCTAAAATCTGGAAAAACTGAATTTTTCTTTTTAGTATTTTAACTGTAACTTTCTCATCCGATATCAGAATGAGGTGATTTAAAATTTATTAAAAAGATCTTGAAGAAACCTACAATTTTAATCTTTTGAGTATTTCCATATTCTAATTGATAAGAGGTATAAATAAAATATTTTAAGACTTACTCAATATCTATAAACTCTAATGGCTAACATAGGGGATTTCTATTGTTAACCAACACACTAAGCATGTGTTAGTGTGTTCTAACACTATGTGTGTGCATGTGTGTGAGTGATCAAGGCTTGTACAAATGTCTAAGCAAAGAAAATATAAAATTACATTTTGACAATAAAGTATATATTCTTCTTTGCTTCATTTTGCCTTGAACTCATTTATGTCTTGAGTATCTCTTTGAATATAATTGTTGATATAGCTCTGATACTGCAAAACAAATGTTAGCACATAATACACACAACATATAATATTTGTTATCATCAAAATAAACTAATCTTGGGGTCAAGATTCCTAACATTCTCCCCATTTTTGATGATGACAAATATATGTTATTAAGATATAAAAATTTTAATCCCCCTGCATAAAATCATTAAATAAAATCTTTGACTCCCCCTACATCAAAGCATTAGTAAAAAATTTAAAATTTTCTATATAACTCCCCCTGTCATTAACAAAAAGAAATAAACATAATTCTAGTTAAATTTTTCTCTTCCTGGGTACCTTAATAAAAATATTAAGCACTTTGGTACCCTTTTATATTATATCATTAGGATTAGCCCTTAGGAATCCAAATCCACTTGGAATTTGGTTTCCATTTATTAACATAAGTGTAATTCTTTGAATTGCAAACTTCATACATATAAGATGAAATATAATCATTCCTATCATGAATATTCAAATTCTTAGGAATCCATATATACTTATTTTGTTTAGCATGAATATTCTTATTATTATTCTTCAAAACATAATCATTCTTTGTAAAATACTTAGGAACAAATTCAATACCAAAATGATTGTTTGAAATTTTTTGAAATGAGAGCAAATTATTCAAATTCTCTTTACTTTTATTGAATTTACTAACATTCAAACATATATCATCATATTTTAATTTAATAGAAGAAATATCTTTATCTAAAACATTAATGCGAATTTTTAAATCATTGCATTCTGATTTTAGATAAACATTCTCATTAGTCAAAATATGATTTTCTTTAAGCAAGGATTTATTTTCCTCTTTCAATTCAATTACTTGAGAATTAGAAATAGTAGAAGAATTAAAATCAGAAATTTCTTCAAGTAATCTTTTATTTTCACCTTTAAGAAAATTATGTGAAGTCTTTAATCTCAAAAATATTTCATATAATTCATTGAAAGCATCTAAAAGCTCTTCATTGTCACTTACTTTATCTTGTGTCATAAAACACATATGAGCGCTTTCCTTTTCTTCGATTTCTTCATCCGAAGACGAATCATCACTATCATCCCATGTAGCCGTCAAAGCCTTCCTTTTCTTATTGAATTTTGTAGACTTTAACATTGATTTTAGAAGGTGACAATCATTCTTCATATGTCCTGGCTTATTGCAACCATAACAAATAAAATTATTATTAGTATCTTTAACATTACTTGTAACTTCATAAGTTACCTAGAGTGTGTGCCAAATATCATATGCGGATGTGGCCGTTGATATCCTATTGAACTCATTCTTGTCAAGAGCACAAAATAAGACATTCATTGCTTTAGAATCCAAGTTTGCATTGTTCTTTTGAGATGTAGTCCATTCCATGAAAGGAGTGGTTGGCTTCTCATATTTTGTTTCCACAATGCTCCAAAGTTCATAGCCAATTGATTGAAGGTAAATCTTCATTCGGCACTTCCAATAGTTGTAGTTCAATCCATCGAACATTGGTGGACGATTTGTACAATGACCTTCTTTGAATTGTGATGTATTTGTTGATGTCATCTTTCACCTTGCTCTGATACCAAATGTAGGGTCTGATTTTGCTTATGTATACCAAGTGTAGGATCGTGACCATTAAGAATAGAGTGCGCTCTTATAAAAATCTGCAGAAGCTTTACACTTAAACATTAGAGTGTGAGTTTGCAAAGTAGATTATAAATTGCAAAGAAAGAATGGCAATCTCAGAAAATAAACATCACAAACACAAGCATGTATACTGGTTCCACCTTCCCGGTGTACATCTAGTCCCCAAGCAAATCCCGCTTGAGAGTTTTCACTATGATTTTGAAATCTTACAAAATCAAAAGCAAACCTGACCAATTTGCAAGACCATGCAAATTGCAAACCCAATTGACTAGATCATGCCAATCGTCACACCGATCTCTAGACCAAGAGATCAACCCCTCTCATAAACCGAGAGAACATTTCTTTGAAGTAATGTACAATTCCAATCCTATAAGCCTTGATATAGATGTGAATGTATAACAGTGGCTTATCAATCTTTTTAACTCTCTGAATATTGTCTAAACAAGCTCTAAGAATGATTGAAACCAAGGCAATATCAGAAACTCTCTTTTTCTAAACACTTAGCATGAAAATCTGGAAAATTAGAGAGTGAATATGCACAAAATATTTGATCTTGCAAGTGCAAAACTTGGTGCTTGTTTTCTGATGTTTAAACCTATTTA